TATTTTATATGAATATTTCAAAAATGTTTCAAAATTTTTTTCAATTTTAACCACAAAAATGGATATAGCTAAGTATTTTAAGGCAAATGAGTGCATTTTTAGTCATTTTTGAGAAAAATGTTTTTTCGGAGATTTGTTCAGGATCTTATTGGTATAGTATATTACTGTGATCAAAAGTTGGCCGACCAAAAAAATTAATTTTTTCTAAATTTTAACCACAAAAATGAATATAGTTAAGTTTTTTAAGGCAAATTAGTGCATTTTTAGTCATTTTTGAGAAAAATGTTTTTTCGGAGATTTGTTCAGGATCTTATTGGTATAGTATATTACTGTGATCAAAAGTTGGCCGACCAAAAAAATTAATTTTTTCTAAATTTTAACCACAAAAATGAATATAGTTAAGTTTTTTAAGGCAAATTAGTGCATTTTTAGTCATTTTTGAGAAACTTTTTTTTCGGAGATTTGTTCAGGATCTTATTGGTATAAAACTTGTCTTTTGAAAATTATTTAGAAAAAAATATTTTTTGAAAAAATTTTAATAAAAATGTTGTTTTCTTGAAACATTTTTAGAAAAAAAAAAGTTTTTTGGAAAAAAATAGAAAAAAATCTTCTTAGGAATTTTTCGGTAAAACCCTAAGTTTTGGTCAGATTTTCAAAATTTTGATGAATCTCTTGTTTTCAAACATTTTATCTTTTCTGCATGTTTCTCACCAAAATAAAACATTTTGGAAAATTTTGGAATTTTTTTTTAGATTTTTTCAAAAAATCCGAATTTAGCATGTCAATAATGGTCAGATGTTGAGAAATTTTGCTGAAAATGTTTAGTATTATTTTGTACTTTCTGCACATTTCTCATAAAAATACAGCATTTTGTATTTTTTTTTACAATTTCTGTCATTTTTCTTTTTTGTTGCTTTAAAAAAACAGTAAAAAGAAATGTATTTATTAAACTAACAGGAGCTAGTTTACTTTTTTGTATAATTTTCTCCATGGAACATGGAATGATGTCAGAACAAATTGCCCCTTTTTTATTTTTTGGCTAATTTATGCTTCTTTTTTTATTATTTTAGTCAGATCGAATTAATCTGTCTGGTGAATAAAGATTAATAACCATTTAGTCACATGATCACTTCAAAGTCAATGGTCATGAAGTGACCATGTGAACCAGTTGTGGGATCTCCTGTCACGTCAGATCAATTACATGATGTATGTTCAGTGTCACTGGAACATAAAATAATATGACAAAACAAGAAACTTATAGTAAAAAAAATTATCTGTGGTTAATGTTAATGTGTCTGTGTGTGTGTGTGTGTGTGTGTGTGTGTGTTACCCAGACAGCAGAGAGAAAAAGAAACAGGCTTTTCACTAATGTTGATTGGAAGCAGATGTTGGCAACAAAGGCCAACACTGAGAAGAAAAATGTTTCGGAAAATTCTCAGAGCTCAGGCTTCTCTTTCTGGACACTGACCTGAACAGCCAATGACTACGCAGCACCCACTGGTGTAAGGGATGGAAGACGCCCTCTCATTGGATGGCCATTCAAACGTGGGCGTCGGGAGCAGATGTCCTGGGAAAGTTGCTGAATCCCAGTCCACTCTGTAAAAAAAAAAAAAAAGCAAAAACATTTGCTTGTTTAACTGGACAATAACCAAATGCAGTTTTAATCCAATAAAACCCTGCGCCTTCATCTCTCCTGTCATTCCTAAAGAAAAACTACTCCAGTGTTTTTTGTTTGTGCCCACTTTATGGACTTATTCACAGGTTTATACGAGTCTGTGAATGGGCTTCACAAAAGGCTTTGAACTTGTTCAGTGAGTGTGAAGAAGAAAACTTTTTTCGACTGCATTACCAACAGAACCATAGTTGAAGTCAATGCAGACGAGATCATTTACGGCCTTTTCATTCCCCCACCACTCGTCTTGTCTTTCTCTAACATTTCCAAAACCTCCGCTCTTCCTTCCTGCCCTCTAACCCACACGTCCAATCTTCAACCTTCCAATTCTTCCCTCATCTTTCTTCATCTTCATCCCCATCACCCCCGTTCTCACCTTTCCCCCTTCGTCTTCATCAGCACCTTGATGCGGTCACACTCCGGTTCACGCGCGGCCTCACCTGCACACAAAGCCCCCGGTTACTCTTTTATTGTACCACTCTATTGCCTATTCACAGCAACAGCACAGCACAAATCAATCATCTCTCCTAATGGAAAGTCCACATTAACATGAGAGAGCGCTCCATTTCCGTCTCAGAATGCCAGGTCAGCTGGTACCCGCGTCTGGGCCAGTGCAGATCCAGGGGCCGGCAGGAACTCTCATTTCGGGCGGTGATGCTGCGGGGTCCAGGGGTGGCTCTGGGAGTCAATGGTGTATTAACTGAGAATCAACAACAGCAATAAAAATGCAAATCGCAAAGCAGGGGACGGCGCGGATCTGCCCTCCACAGTCAACACACCTGCCAAGGCGTACGGTTTAGCAAATCTCAGACACAACAATTCACTGAACAAGGAGGGGTGAGGAGCAGGGGGTGAGGAGCAGAGGGTGAGGAGTCTGTGACAAACCTTCATCCCACAGCAAGTGATTCAAAAAAAGGAAGGAGACGTTTTCTTTCAGTGTCAGAAAGCATCGTTATATTAACAGGGAGGACATTAAACTCTGCGTCTCATTGGTCGGTGCTTACCTTTCAGTCCACACTGAAATTAGGAATGTCGAAACATCAGACACCGTGTGTGATGTCATCATTAAACGCCAGTGGAAATTTCCCTCCTGTTTAACACAGAAATTAGCAAAAAAAAAAAACAAACAAATGACAACAGTCAAAATGTAGTACAGTGATCCCTCTCCCATCGAGGTAGCTGCGTTCCAAGACCCACCGCAAACCGGTATGTATATGTACCTTTTGTATGTATAATTATTTTATAATGTCTTTTAGTTTATTTTTTGCTATGTTTTGTGATATAGCGAAAATTCCGTGCGAAAAAAAAATCACGATGTACTGAGGAAGCGAAAGGAGAATCGCGATATAGAGAGGGAACACTGTATTTCCAATAACATTTCTATCACTTGTATTTGTCGCAAGTGAAAACAGGAAGTTCCGGTTTGAGAACTGATCAAACTGTAACTCAATTTTTTTATTCTTTTAGGCCGATCTTGAATTTCCAGGTAAAGATAATGAGGCCGGAACACAGTCAGAGACGACGCAATGACCACGTGGGAGTAAAGACAGTCACGATGACCCGTCTAGACACATCCGTGTGTCCCCAGTGTACGGTGCTCCAAACCCTGACCCGATCACCAGGAGACAATTCCATGAGAAGATGTGCTGCCTCAAACCTGACTGTAGTCCCTGGACAGCTCTGAGGACCACGATGACCGGAGTCAGCTGACCATGAAGGACAGTAAGACATGAACACTTCCCCGTGTAACTGCGTCTTAGTCCCAGACGTCAGGATCCCCGGGGAAACATCAGTCACATTTCACAACTTCTCATCTGCGTAATGGAACCAGTGAGCTGGTCCGCCGTGCGTCACAGTGAATTTTCCTTCTTTGAAGAGGACATTAATTCTGAGGAAAAGATAAATGCTCTAATATTCTATCTTTATCTTTCAGATGGCCCTGAAGGCTTTACAAGTGAGGATGAAAAGAGCCTCAGCTTTGGCCTCAATTAGTTTATTTGGACATCATGTGAGAAGATCAAGGAAAATATTAAACATGATGTGGTTTAGTAGGTAAAGCTTGTATTTAGCAACAACCTGCTGCAACGTTTTTTGTTTGTTTTTTTCATACAGAAATACCACTTTGTTGTTAATGGAACTTTCCGAAGCCCTGGAAATGATAAAATTACTGTCACATCCATTAGCAACATTTCTATCAGATGAATCTACCTAATTCTAAAGCCCAGGTTGCCCAACCTTCTGCTGTGACGCAAGAATAGTCTACCGCATAGCATGATATGGTATCGCATCGTATCGTATCGTTTTAGAATACAGTGATCCCTCTCAAATCGCGGTAGTTGCGTTCCAAGACCCAACCGCAAAATAGGGAAAAATCGCGAAGTAGAGGCGATATAGTTATTATATTGTTTACATATATATGTATCCTTTAGGAACCTCCCCCACGATGTTATCAACCCTCTCGAGGCTAAATTACCTTTTCACACACAATTATATTGTAGCGCTGCGACAGATTGAGACTCAGGCAGCTTTTAATTATTCAGAAAGTGGTTTATTATCTCACCTGGAACTAGCGGGTTGACACTTTCCTATACTAAACCAGTCGCCTCAAACACGAGGAAGAGAACACACTGCGCATGTGCACCACAATACGGTGCGTTCATGGCACCCGCGAACCGTCAGAAAAGGTAGAACATTATAACACAACACAAACATTTTTTTACCCCCATCGTCACAATATGAAGTGAACAAGGGGAGACGCTGATAGAGGCTACGATGCATGAGCCAATCAGCGTGAGGAGCAGAAGAGCATGTTCTGTACGATCTCGTCTAGCTAAACAAAGCTACCAGCGATCGTTCGCAACTGCGCTAATCCCAACTTCAAAACGAGAATCCACATTTTTAAAGCCAAACCTTTCGTATGTAGAATTAGTTCATAATGTCGTTTAGTTTACTTTTACTAGATGTCGCGATACCGTAGTACAAAGTCAAAATTATACAAGGTAATTTTTTTTTTTTTTGGTTCCACTGTAATTAACAATATCCCTGACATGACCTTCTTTTCTTTAACATCCCTTAATCTCCGCCTCTTGTGTTGCCCAGAGCCATGTTAAGACGACCTGCATGAGACAGATGTAACTGGGTGAGACCCTTTGGATAAATATTTAGGTTTCGGAATCTGAAAAATGAGCAGTTCCTCGGTGTCAGAAGCGCCGTAAGCTGCTGGTGACAGGTGATACTTTTCTCCCCCGGAGACGGAGAAAGTATTTGACATCTTTTAGTGACTGCCATCTGTGACAATTCTCACCTTCCTTGTCTGCTTTTACTACTTTTTTTTTTAAAGCAAAGACAGTGTGAAAATCAAGTGCGTCTGAATCAGACTGATTTCTACACTGGTTTGACTTTACAACTGGTATGGCAGTGGTTCCGTTTTTTTGGGTTTTTTTGGATCATGCACCAGTGTTTAAAAACCATCATGTCTGGTATGCATCATCAGCTCTGTCAGAGCGTAGGAGGTGGAGCAGGAGAGAAACCACCTGGATAACCTCAGTCTGCACCCACTGCCAAGAACACCAGCAGCAGCGTCAGAACACTGGTCTTAGGTTAACAGAAGAGGATTTTTTTTTTTTTTAGTTCTCACAAAGAAATGTATCTGCCCCCTGTATGATGCCCCGAAGCAGTGAAGTCATTGTTTGGTCTCTACATTTGAAATACACTTTTCATTGATATAAAAAATATACAGCTTGTTTGATCGGAGCTGTGGTTCAGACTTCGTGAAGAATCATCCTGCAGAACCAGGGCCAAACAGCTGTGCAGCTCAGGGCAGCGGGCCACGGCGCTGTACGTTCTCTATGTACACGGGAATTTATATGAGCCTGCAGTTACAAGCACATGAATGGGCCCCTGTGTACTGTTTGTGATTTGACGTCACCTCGTGTGAAACGCAGTGTAGCCTAGCATCACATGTGAGAGAAGTAAAGTGCTGTTAAATTAAAGTAAGATGTTTCAGTACGGGGAAGAGCAAATGCATGTGTCAGTAAATGTGGAAATACAAGGGAATTTTAAAAGGTTTTCGTCCGGTGTTTGAACTGTTGATGTTTTATGATCAGGTTTCCCTCCAGTGCAAACGTCTGATTTTTTAACTGAACTTGAACGGAAAAGAGTTAAAAAAATTGAAGTTTTGCAACACGTTTCGCTCCAACACTGATTTTTTTTTTTATATATCCAAAACTAACAAAACATCGAAAGACACGTCCTCGATGGACATCTCCGAAAAACTCAACAAAGACGACATTCTCAAACAAATGCCTCTTGGAGAAGTGTTCAGTCCTAAAAAAACCACCTGACAAATCCATGAAATCTTTCTTCACATATATTTTATAACATTTTGAAGTACATTAAGTACATTTTTAGAAATAGAAGCTACAGTTTATAAAACCTTTCCAGCAGAAATCATTGATGGGCCAGCATCAGCCTTTAAACTCTCACAGACAGCTTGAGTTTCTATATATATAAAAAGAAAAAAAAATTGGATTTTTAAAAAAAAAAAAGTAAACAATAAAAAGAAAACGTAGCTACATTTTTTTGTCTTGCTCTACCTTTATATTCCCAGGAAAGCACCAGCTGTCTGCGTCTTTTGTCTTATATAAAATATAAATTATTGAAAAATATTCAAATGTTTGTGAACTAAATACAATAAAAAATGATCTCATTAAAAAAAATACAGACACTATAAAATATACAAAAACAAAAAAAAACCATTTTTTTCCTTCTGAATCCGTTCTGAGATATGCATTTGCCACAATCTATAGGTGTGTGAACACGTGCCTGACTACAATTCAATAACACATATGACCTGCAGTAATCTCTGACAGCTAACAACAGTACATTATCCTGACAAAATAACTTCTATTACTTTAATATCTTTAGGTAACAGAATGATTTAGCACATTAACTTTTATGACCTTTGGGGGAAAAAAAGCATTTCATTTCCCAGGGCCGAGGCAACTGTTACACATATACTAAAAAAAAAAATCTGTAAAGCTCTCTTTGACATAAATCGTCAACTCAGACGAACGAAAAAGGAAAAAAAAAACAGTGTTTTGGAACCCTTTGACGCCACCATGCAGAAAAGGACAGAAGTACAGTGAGGCTCATGTCTGATTCATCTGCTGAATTTTCCTTGTGTCTGATGACATGGGTGGATGAAAGGATAAGACTCAGTGCTTAACTACGATGGGAAAAAAGAAACAAACAAAAAAAACTAATATGCCTCCAGTCACAGGGGTCTGCAACTCACCCGTGACTCCTAAATGTAGGGCGGATATTTTTTTTTTTACTAATAAAAGGAACCCAATTTTTTCAGATTTTTTTTTTTTTTGGCTTGCTAACAACAGAACAACATAGTGTCGCTGTTTTCTGGTGTGCATTTCTAGCATCAGTGCAGACACAGAGTGTGACAAGATTTGAACACGTCACAGAACTTCAACTGTACTGAATGTGTCTGTGTTTTAGTAGTTTGACTTTTTTGTCCAATGGATTCTGTAGTATTTAAAACTCCAGTTACTGCAGTATTATTTAAATGTTTTTTGCAGCTGTGGGTAGAATTCAACGATGGTAAAAATGTCCCTTTTTGGGTGTAAGGTTTCAGACTCCCCCGACAAACACAGTGTCTTCTTTCTGCACTGAGGACAAAACACAGATCACTGAAAGTATTCCTCCTTATCTTAAAGCTGTTTGCTTTCCAAAAAAAAGAAAAAAATCAACAACAGATAACAGAAAAGCCAACACGTTTCCATGAAGCATAAAAGGCTCACGGTCCCTGTCGCTGTGGATCAGACCCTCGGTCAAAGACCCCACACGTGTTTTGGTTATTATTACTGCTTTGTCTCTGGCTTATTTATGTGACTCTGGGTCTCCAGAATAAAACATTATGAAATATAATCTGTAAAAATAGACTTATGGCAGAAAGCTATATTCATCCAAGCAAAGTTCTCATTCAGCCACTGTAAACAATAACATGGTCCTCGAAAGATGATTTTTTTTTTACTTTGGCATTTCCCATCAGGCCTGTGTTTGGCCACCGCTCCCACCAATGGGAAGAAAATCCTGCCAATTACCAGTGAATTACAAGCTACACAAAACATAAAAAAAAATAAAACAACACGAATTCACGACACCTTCTCGCCATGAACTTTTTTTGGTGATTTTGTCCAAAGAAAAGTGATGCATAACCAACAAATCAAACACTGATGTCTCTCACTGCTTCGTTTTTGAAATTCAGCAACAGCAGCTTCGGACATTTATGCAGGAGTCTCTCTGTACAAACAGCTAACGCCACACGCAACGGTGCCAACTTTCAACGTTTCACTTTCCATCAGACTCTACCAGCGACCATCATCTGTGGGATCCACAGATTCCAACCAATCAACTTCCATCTTTACTATCCTCCAGTCAACATTTTCCTCCCTCCCCACACTTTTCACACTACTTCACTCACGATCTTTTATGGAACAAACACTTTTAAAGCAACAACGACGGCGGACAGTGAACGGACAGAGGGTGTGCGTGTCATCTGCACGTTATTAAAAACTAAGTCACACTCCCGACTCTTCCCACCTAGATTGTCAACAGTTTGCTAATACTTCTGCTGTATGCAAAACACAACGGCTTTCAGTCGCAATTCACGTGTCGAACGAGGAGGCATTTGTGTATGTACGAAACGAAACGTCGGTTTCAAATGCAACGGCTGCTTTCGGTTGTTCGTGTGTCAGAGGCTCTAGTTGTGACTCATCTCACAGGTCCTCCCTGCCTAAGAAAACGCAGGGCCAGTGTCTATAGTGTTGTGTGATAACGAATCAGCACATTTACACCAGGCTATGATGGGGGAGGGGTGGGGAGGTCGGCGGGGTCATTCATTAGTTTCCCTGTAATTCTTTTTTTTTTTTTTTTCAAATTTTCCCCAGATGTTTTTTTTTTTTTTTCCCTACATCAGTAAAACAATACTGGCACAAACAATAGACTTTAAAACTAAAAGTTACACACTGTATAAAATTAACACTTTTTGGTCCCAGCTGAAAACAGTCGACGACTTTTCATCTTGTGAATACAAAAAAAAAAATCACCTGGGTTCGTCCACTTTTTGGCAACCACCTTGAGCTTTACTTTGCACCTGCTCTCTGTTCATCCCTAATATGACTTTTTTTTTGTTGTTATTTGATGATTTCTCTCGGCCTCGGTCCTCTCTACCTGCCTCTGTGCTACATAGGCCAAATGGAACCTTAAAAAAAACTACCCAAAGGTGCTCAATCTACCTCGAGCTGCTAAATAATACTGGTATTTATCACACATAAGCACGCTCACGTACACATCTCAAAGTATGAACACATGCTTGTGGGGCTGTGCCTTCTTTTCTAAACATGGTCTAAAGGACGAGGGCTCAAAGTTGACGTAGACCACAGTCAGTCGTTAAAACGTTTTGGTCCCAAAAAGAAATGGTTTACCAAAGTTATCAAATACTTAAGACCACTTTATGAGCCTCAGTCCATGTGGCTCCTTTAATGTTTGTCTCTCTCTCTCTCTTTTTTTTCATCTCTGCCTTCACTCGTCCGTGTCAGGCTTTACGTCCAACATGGCGTGCAGCTCCTCGGGCGTGTATCCCAGCAGGCTTTTTAAGTCACAGACAAAGCGGTAGACGTAGCGTTTTCCCGACGTCTTGTGGATGATGTTTTTGTCGTAGTAGTAACGCAGGCCGCGGCTCAGCTTCTCATAGTTCATTTTGGGCTTGTTTTTCCTCTTGCCCCACCTTCGGGCAACCTGAAATATTTCAGAAAATATTTCAAAAGTGCAAAAAAATTCACTTCAAATTGAACTAAATAAATCAACACAGGCTAACAGGGCATGTGGACAGTGTTTAAAGAAGACGTCTACTTCATCTGGTTTGCTACTTAGGACCTCCCAGCAAGTGTGCCAGAGGGTAGTGATGTCACGACCCCTCACCTCATCTGGGTCAGAGAGCTTGAACTCCCAGCCGTCGCCTGTCCAGCTGATGAAGGACTGGCAAGACTTGTCGGTCAGCAGCTCCAGGAGAAACTGCCACAGCTGGATGGGGCCACTGCCTGAGGAACAGATGGGGAAGGAAGGGACACGAGGACGGAGAGGACGAGGAAGAAAAAATCAAAACAAAAATTAGACTGAAAATGTCAAATGTTTACGGCAAGTACTCTCTGCGATATTCAAAGACGGGGAACGTAGAGCTCATGGTTCGGGGCAGACTGAAGCTGACCAGCGGAACCAAACGTCTCCTAATGCACAACAGCTTCATTCATTATGCATTCCCCCCTGTCTGCCATGTGCCTTGTGCATTATTTGACTCTACAGTCAGAGTTCCACACCGATGACATCACTGGTTTAAAATAGAGTTGCCTCCAGGACTGGGTCCGAGGACGAGTTATCAGAGACGTGAATGAAGAGAAATACATTTATGATATAACGTAAGTCAACGGAGCTCTGTGATGTTACATCAGTCAATTACAGACAATGGAAAAAAAAAGGTGACATGCAGCACCTACAGCTTGGCTGTCGTCTCTGAACTAGATTCACAGAAATGCACTTTGATCTTGTGGTTTCTCTGCAAACGCACGAACCCCAGCACCTTCGAGTCTCCCATGTTGAAATCACACCTGCCTTTGCAGCACACACCGCATCACCAAAAGTGTAGCGATGTAGAACTTATGTCTCTCAAAAAAAAAACAAAACCCAAATGTACCCTTATACAACACAAACCGCGCTCCGGTAAACAGATGTGTGGGTTGAAAACTCGAACGTGGCTCACAGGCGCGGGCTCCTCTCCTGTGAGGAGCGGAGAAGGTGCACGACAACAGCCGCTCCAACTTTGGAAAATAAGTGGCTGTCTCTTTTAAATGTGCTTTACAAAAAAAAAAAAAAAAAAATCTACCACTGTAACAGCAGGCCCACATAAGGGCAGTAGAGCGCCCGTTTACTCTGTGCTCTCACGGCAGAATGTGGGCGAGAGACCCTTTGACAATGAAGAAGTGAAAAAAAGTTTCCAAAAATATGTTTCAAGTCTCCACGCACAATGGGCCTCATTGAAGCAGCATGCAAAGGCAGAAAGGGGGTTGGAGCAGGGCAGGGTTTCACATTCACAGTAGCGTTAAGCGTTTGTGCCATGGCATGATAAATGAGTCTCGGGGAATATGAGGCTAAAAGCGAGACACGGGCGACGACTGCATCGCTGATGAAATCTGTAGATTTGACTTTTTTTTTTTTATGTTTCTTGTTTTTTTGAAGATATTTATAAAACAATGACGTTATGGTGAAGTTAGTATAAAAAGAAGTGAGGATAAACCCCCCTCACCCCCGACCCCTCATCCCCCCATCCCCCCCCAGCAATGAAACTTTGAGCTTCACTTATCTCTCAAATATCTACCCTCACTACAAGCGTTATCTGACAGACGTTGACCGAGAGGCTGAGCTGAACAGTTTTATAAATGTTTTTCCATTTATTTATTTTTTTGAAAAAAACAAATTTTTTTTCTAATAAGCAATAACAAAACCAACAACTAACCCCTGGATACCGACTGGTACACAGCCTGCAGCGACCTCGTCTGTGCATTGTTAGTGAAAATTGAATTTATCTTGGATTTTCCCCTGTATTTGCTGAGAAAGAATAAATAAAAAAAATGATTAAAAAATCCCCTGAATCATGACACTGGTGACCCTGCAGACACATGACTATAATCTAGTAAAAAGTTATGTATCTCTACATTATGGTAGAAAGAGCTGGTCTGTGTCTTTTGTGCAAATGCTCTCACGAAATTAAATGTTTACCTGCCTTAAAGTCTGTGTTCGCATTTTACTAAAAGCAAATGATAAGAAAAGTTAAAATAGTGCATTTGCTGAAGAAGAAGAAGAGCGTGCCGATATCTCCTGATCTGAGTGCACAGACAGCGCAGTCTGAATGAGAACATAGATGTTTGGTGAGATGAAGATGATAATCTAACTCTGTGTGTGTAATGTGCAGAGGCAGACAGCAGTTTTGTGTTTTTAGCAACGAGCTCATATTGACCTAAAAAAAAACTCGTTTTAGATGAAGATGGTACTTGAAAACAGGTTCAAATAAAAGTGAGAAGATGGAGAGAGAGAGAGAGAGAGAGAGAGGTGTCAATTTAATCAGTTTTATTTGTTGCTGTGTGCATGTTTTTTTTTTGTCCTTCCTCCTTTGTCTTCAATGACCACACAAGTGTGAAGGACATTTACATCTTATATATATATATATATATTTTTTTATATATAACATATTCATTATCATGATAGAATGTTATTTATTAGCTGATTATTTTTTATATATTCGTGTTGGGTTTAAACGTGTTATTTCTGTGTTTCTGTTTGGTGCAGCCTGTGGTCCAGTGGGTTAATAAAAAAATCCTAGCAGGGCTGTGGTTTGTTAAGCAAAAACTACAACAATTTCTACATTTCCTGGCCCTGGTACGTGCAGCACAACAGGACAGGGGGACAAATTATTATTATTATTATTATTATTATTATTGAGTCCGTTATTCGTCCAACAATTGGACATTTTATAGTGTGAGTCTTTGTAACCGTGCCATTAGGGATCTGTGGTTCCTCTGGGACAGTGGTTCTGTATCATCCGCAGCAGCTCTACCTCAGGTCGGACTAGCGGCATCACTTGAACAGTACATTTTTATTTCTTACCTGTGTATCCTGCCAGCGCCGCTGCGGGGATGACAGGTTTGTCCTTGCTGAGGTCTGAGCGCTCCCTCACGTAGTCTTTGAAAGTGCCCTTGGGCTTGTGGCTGTGCAAGGCGTTGGGATAGTCTTCTGAGTCAAAGCTGTCGTAGGACGGTACCCGCTGCAGGCTGCTGAACGAAGACTGGCTGTTCCACGACTGGGTTAATCTGTCGCAGCTGTCAAAGCTCTCGATGCTCTCGAAGGAGTCCTGGCCCCCCAGTTTACCTGAGGAGGAAGAAGAAACAGAGTGTGTGTGTGAGTTAGGAAGAAGAAACAGAGTGTGTGTGTGTGAGAGAAGAGAGGGGAGAAATGTGCTAATTGCGTAAGGTGCCACGCCGGAGCGCGACTCTGCCACATCTCATTCTGCGTCGATGTCAGGGATGATTTCACTCGCGAAAACACAGCTCAAATTCACTTTTAATGGAGGAGCCGCGCAATTGTCTTTCTATTTTGGGCCCGGGGAAAGATAAGAGGAGTCTGTTAATGGTGAGTCATTAACAGATGACAGCGAACGCAGTGCCTGCACCGACGCAAGAATCCTCCCAGTGCAGTGAAATTGAGACCACATGTGGACAGCAGTTGTGTTAGCAAATACTTTCCCACGTTAGGAGAGCGTAACGCTCTTATAACATAACGCCCCAATAGTTGGTATGTGTGATGCGTGGTCGCTGGGCCTCATGCCTTGCAGGAAAATGCCCTACCACCTTTAGGGGGCTTGTATAATGCACTCAGCACATGCTATTTATGTATCCAGCTGAGGGTTAGTGAGATGAAAATGCTCGTTTTGTGACTGTGAATGTAAACGCTGCTCCTAATTCCTCTGTAAACTATCAGTGGGAAACGAGCCAGTGAATGCTGAAAGACAAACAGTTTAATGAGAAAACTCAGTTCTCGCTAACTGAAGATGACGCCTTGATCTTCTTACCAGGAACCTCAAAGTGGAGTTGAAGAAAAGAGGCCAAGAAACCAGAGAACAAAAAAATCATGAAGGTTACACCACTTGAGCTGTTTTACATAAAGAATAGGCGACGAAAAAAAAAAGGGGGTGAAGACACTGTGGCTACGGTTCAAGTATCACTTTGACATAAACAACACATTTGGGTTTTTTTTCTCCTCTTTACGCCACCGAGACTGCATGAAGCAGGTCTGCACGAACCACAAACCAACGAAGGGCTGGTCCTTCAGCGCTGTAACGTTCACGTATGTACAGCCACAGAGCCGTCATCACACCTCGATGCACAATAAACGTTGAAAAACATTCAGTCGCACATGCCTGAGAAAATCAGTTCTAATGTCCTGTGAACGTCTGTCTCACCTCTGATGCGTCCCACACACATGTTGTCCGGGGACACCACCTCCTGCTTGACAGTGAAGTAGTCCCCCTGCAGGGGGTTGAGGGGCGTGTCCCGCAGGATGACAGCAGGGTAGTCACTCTCATACTTGAGTGTCAGCAGTTCCTCTGAGCTGATGGGATGCAGGGTCTGGTAGGATTCTGTGATGAAACCAGGCTCTGAGTATTCAGAAGGAGGGACACACTGAGCATGCTCAACACCGTAGCCTGAAGACATGAAGTGCAGACAGTAAGCATGGAGCAGGAGCACAGGAGGAACAGATCAAACTCAAGCAGAGCGCTGTTCGTATCCCTCCTGTGTCAGATGCTAAGTAAGACTTGACTCTAAGTGACTGAAAGGAATTTTTCAGATTTGTTTTTGTTTTTTTTACACACTGAAATATGCAGTGACCTTCCTGACCCCCTCTACCACACCCCCCTAAGTCCATTCACATTTTAGTCATGTAAAAGCCTATCGTGATAACGTAAATGATTCACATAGGGTGTGAGTGAGGGAGTACTTACTGCCAAAGTAGTCTGAGGTATAACGAGATTCCTGGAAGTTGGAGGTCAATCCATTGATGGGATAATGCTTTGTATCCTCTTCATGAAAAATAGATAGAGAGCGTCAGTGACCTCGTCATTGATTTCATGTATCATGTAACTGCATCCATCATGATCAAAAATTAATGACCTGAGCTAAACGGCTTTTCCGGTTTGACAGTTCTATCACTCTGTTTGGTATGAATGGAGGAGGGTTTTTTCCTTCGTAACATGTGATTTAACGGCAACATTTTAGCCTCTGTTTTCTGTCTGAAGTCATCTGCTCTGATAATGAGTGCGGCCTTTTACCTTTCTGGAGCATCTCTAAATGTTCCCAGAGGATGTCGCCCACAAAGTCCGGTGCCAGGTCCAGGAAGCGGTCTTTGCCCATGGCACACAAACTGGCTCCGTTAATGCAGAACTTGTCAAAGTCCACGTTCTTTAGACTGAACTCGTTCACTGTCCACGTTAGCCACTCGACCACGTGGTTTTCTGTCCACTGTCTGGGATCTGAGAGGATGAAAACCTCTGAGTGAGCTGA